TTTGCTGACTCATTCCAAAGAAACTAAAGTCATGGTTAAATGTTGGCCTCATAAAATCATTTCTTTAAAAATTAAGGAAAAATTCTTATTGCTATTAAAACAGTGGAACAGGGCACCTGGGTGGCTCAGTGGGTTAAGCCTCTGCCTTAGGCTCAGGTCATGATCCCAGAGTCCTGGGATCAAGCCCCGCATTGAGCTCTCTGCTCAGTGGGAAGCCTGCTTCCACCTCTGTCTTTCTCTTCCTGCCTCTCTGCCTACTTGTGATCTCTCTCTCTCTCTCTGTCAAATAAACAAATAAAATCTTTAAAAAGATGAAAATAAAAAAAATAAAACAGTGAAACAGAAACAGCTTAGAAAATGGTTAGTAATAGAAACATATCTTCCTCTGAAATATAAGTTTTTCAAGAAAAAACAGCTTTTTCATCTCCTTATACATCATTATGCTGTTACTTTATGTCTCTAATTATATTTTTTTATCACATGGCATCACCTCTCATTAGTGTTATTACTCAGCATTGTACTAGATATCAAAACAGATTTAATTTTTTTCCTGTATTATCCTTGCTACATTGAGTTTAGAAAATATGGAGATGAAACCAAATGAAAATATTAAAAGGTAACATTTGTAGAGCACTTAATGTAAAATCATGAACTCAAAAAAAATAATAATAAAAATTAAAAAAAAGAAAGAAAGAAAAAATCATGAACTCAGTGCTAAATTATTCCTAAAGACGAAGACTGTGTTCATAACTAAGTATTACACAGTAGAACCAAAGTGAGACACAAATCTGAGTAAAGCAGTGTTCCTCCTCACCACCTGGAGCATATGGGGGTGGGTAGCCCACAAATACTGGTGAAGTACAAGATTTGGGTTGGAGATGGGAGTGGTCAGTACAGCCTTCAAATGGAGAACTGGGGTTTTGGTTTTCTTTGCCCGTGGTGGTTATTTTTCAGTGGGGGAAAAAAAATTTATTGTGATGAGAATAAACATGAAACCCACTCTCAACAAAATTTTCATTATACAATACAGTGTTGTTAACTGTAGGCACACTGTTGCACAGCGCATCTCTAGAACTTAATCATCTTGCACAACAAGCTTTCTTCCCTTTGAATAGAAGTTCTGTCTTCCCTTCCCCCCAGCCTCTGTCAACCACCATTCTACTCTCTGTTCTTATTAGTTTCACCATTGTAGATACTGCAGTATTTGTCCTTCTGTGACTGGCTTATTTCATGTAGCCCAGTGTCCTCCAGGCTCATCATGTTGTTGCATATGGCAGGATTTCCATCTTGTTTGAGGAAGAATAATATTCTATTGTATGTATATAGCACATTTTCTTTATTCATCTGTTGATGGGCATTTAAGTAGCTATTGTGAATTAGGCTGCAGTGAACATGGGAGGGCATATATCTCTTTGAGATCATGATTTGTTATTAAAAAAGCCCCCAAGAGATAACAAGTGTTGGTGAGGAGGTAGAGAAATTGAAACTCGGTTATACATGTTGGTGGGAATGTAAAATGGTGGAGCCACTGTGGAAAACAGTACAGAAGTTCCTCAAAAATTAAAAAAGAGAACTGCCTAAGATCCAGCAGTTCCACTTCTTGGTGTACACCCAAAGGAGGGCCTGGGTTTTGAATTGGAAAGTGGAGGGAACACAGAGCTTACTGAGAGTTAGAAAATACCACATAAACAGTGATGCCAGGAAAAGAATTGCAGTAAGCCACACACTGAGAAACTGAGCATCGAGTGGCAGGGAGGACACAGAACTTCAGTTCTAAGCAGCTGATGGTTGTATTTTGTTTTTCCTTTGCTCAGACGAGAAATTTGATACCAGGTATGAGATTTGCAAAATGTTATTAAGCAATTTCATACTAGCTGATTGGTAGTGGAAAGAAAAGAGAAACTGCTGACAGTGGTTAGTTTTTGGACAAAAGAATTAGGGGTCAGAAGGAAAGGAGAAATTGCCCTTTTCGTTTTCTAACTTTCTATATAGTTTGAAAGTTTTTCTTTCCGTTCCCATATGTAGTGTACTTGCATAATACCCAGTTTCACAGTGGCTTACCATTGTGAAGAAAAAAAGGAAAGGAAAACTTTTTTTTTTTTTTTTTTTTACATCACAACATTGTTTATTATGTGAATTTTTTACAATACAAACAAAAAAAAATACAGAAATGCAATATATGAATACAGCTAAATGCAGAATGGTGACTTTTTTTCTTTTCAAGAGGCCATGATTCTCATTTCTAGTAAAATAAAGAGACGGCACATAGGTAGAAATAGGTTGGTCGTTAGCTTCACAATTTTGCCTAGAAATGATCTATAAATGCATTTTTCCCCCTGCTACTTACCATAAAGTGTAAAAAGGGAATTAAAGGAAAGTTTCCTTGTTGGTTTCTACCATATGAAAGATGCTATATTCTATTTTTAGCAGGGCCAATATATGGAAAATACCTAAATAAAATGTTATTAAAAAATGAAGCAATAATGAGATTCTGGCTAAAGAGGGCACTAAATGAGAATAACATATATTTAAAGAATCCAAAACAAACAAATAAACAAAAAAAGGTTGTTATAAAAAAGCTCTAGGTGCACTGTAAGCATATAGGATTTTTTTTTCCATGTGTATTTTTAAACAATGGAAGTGTCAAAAAATAGGGTCAACTGTGTTAGACTAAATTACATTATTGTATATGCTGTACTGAGTGGAACCTTTGTATTATAATTATCATAGAGAAGCATAGTTTGCATCATATTATGGCAATTTATCCTCAATGAATACCTTCCAGAGTCCTTTTATTTTGGAATATCCTGTAAACAATCAAACCACCAGAACATGATTGTACAACAGTAAAATGTTTTCTTGCATTAAGTTGAAGACATCTGTTTAATAAAAAAACAAAAAACCAAAAACCAAAACAAAACAAAAAACAAAAAACAAAAAGAAAATGTAGGAAAGGTACTTAGAGCTGTTAGTTTCTAAGTACACAACACCCTAGACAATTCAAGGCATCTTAATCTCCATCAAGAACAAAAAAATAATAATTTTTGTCATGCTGTTAAATCCATCATTAAGGATAAAACTGGTGCAAATTGGTCAAACGGATCCAACAAACACTGATGTCCAAGCTGGCATATTGGCAACTAATACGTAACTGGTGGTCAATAGAGGGTTTAAAAGATCTTCCCTTTCTTCTTGTTCTTTTCCAAGGTTCTGGAAGAGTTTTGTTGGTCTAAAATACGTTGTTGGGCTTCCCAGTTTGCTTTCTCGTCTTCAAACTGACGACGTTTTTCCTCTAATTCTTTGTGCTGTGCTTCCAAATTCTTTTTCATTTGCTCATGGCGCCTTTGGAGCTCAGCTTCTGAATCCTTCAGTTTTTGAACTTTTTCTTTGACCTTCATCTCAAACACCTGCTCCATCTCCATCTCCATCTTTTTCATCTTAGCTACATGCTCCCTTCTTTCTTCTTCCATTTGTGCAAGAGGGCTCTTGGTAAGCTGCCCTTTATTCTTGTTATTATCAACTCCATTATAAGTCACAGCTGCCAGTTTTCTGCTCCGGTAGTTTTCATAGTGGACATTATTAGTGACATCTTTCAAGTCCTGCATGTGTGTTCTTATCAACATATTTCTTAGAATTGTAAAATCACAATGTTCACCATTTTCAACTTCAGCAACACCCCAAGGATACTGCCTTCCTCTGACCCTTTTGCCATTAACTTCAATGATAGTATTACTACCTACCACAGCGAGAGGTAAACGGTCCTTTATCTTTTTAACAAGCTTATTTTCTTCTTCATCATCTGTCTCTGGAAATTCATATATTTTAATTTTATGTTCTTGGATTTCTTTCATTATCTGTTTTTTAAACTGTTGGCACTCCTCTGGAGTAAGTGTGTCTGCTTTGGCAATAAGTGGAATGATATTCACTTTTTCATGCAAACGCTTCATAAACTCAATATCCAATGGTTTAAGTCCATGTCCTGAAGGAGCAATGAAATATAAACAACACTGCACCCTGTTATCAGGCATCTGACGTCTGTTCACTCGAGATTCTGCATTTAGGTAGTCCTCAAATTTACTATCAATGTAGTCAATAACAGGCTGCCAGCAATTACTATTATCCACTGCATCTCCAAATCCTGGGGTATCAACTATTGTGAGCAGCAACTGAACACCACCTTCTTTGATTAAAACTTTGGATTGTTCCACCTGTACTGTCTTTTTTATTCTATGGGATGGACCTGGATACTCTGGAGAATACAAATCTGTGAGGAATAATGAGTTGATTAATGTTGACTTCCCGAGTCCAGATTCACCAACAACCATAAGAGTGAATTCAAACCCTCTCTTCACTGATTTTCTGTATACTTGATTTGGGAGATTTGCAAATCCCACATAGCCTTCAAGGTTCTTCTGTTGAGCTACCATGGTGCTGCTGTTGACGCTCCTCTCCTCAGCCGGAAAGGAAAACTTTTATTTACCTTATACACTATTGATGCCTCTTGGCCGAGAGTCAAGGAAGCTTTTTTTTTTTTTTTTTTTTAAGATTTTATTTATTTATTTGACAGACAGAGATCACAAGTAGGCAGAAAGGCAGGCAGAGAGAGAGGAAGGGAAGCAGGCTCCCTGCTGAGTAGAGAGCCCGATGCGGGGCTCGATCCCAGGACCCTGAGATCATGACCTGAGCCGAAGGCAGAGGCTTTAACCCACTGAGCCACCCAGGCACCCTCAAGGAAGCTTTTTATTTTTATTTTTATTTTTATTTTTTTTAAAGATTTTATTTATTTGACAGAGAGAGATCACAAGTAGGCAGAGAGGCAGGCGGAGAGAGAGGCGGAAGCAGGCTTCCCACCGAGCAGGGAGCCCGATGTGGGGCTCGATCCCAGGACCCTGAGATCATGACCTGGGCCAAAGGCAGAGGCTTAACCCACTGAGCCACCCAGGCACCCCACAAGGAAGCTTTTTAATTGACACATTATTATGAATGTTTTTCTTTTACAGATACCCAGGTGTTCTTTCTGATGTCCAGGAGGAAAAAGGCATTAAGTACAAATTTGAAGTATATGAGAAGAACGATTAATGTGAAGGTGTTTTCTGGTTTATTTCAAGTTAGTTGTTCCCCCTCCCCTCCAAACAATTATAGATTTTAATATTAGGAAAAAAAGACTTTTGTTGACTTTAGGTCAATGGATAATTACTCTAAGCAATGAAATTTTATTAATCTTACTTAGGCTATAGTTAAGACTAATTTTAACTAGACCATATCAGATACCATTTGTGAAACATTTCTGGCTATAACTGTATGTTGCCCATCAAGGACCAGCACCTTCCTAGGGTAGCATATCTACCAAGAGCCTAAGTTAGACAATCCCCTGATAGCATAAGTTGAAACCAGGACTTAGAAAGATAGGACTAGACAGATTGTCCAAAGGTCAGAAATGGATTATAAATAGAAGAGCTAGAACTCAGATATTAAGAGAAAATTAGATCAAAATAGGAACTTTGAGTTCTCTATGCATATCACACTTCTGAAAAAAGTTCTGTTCACTCAGACAGAGAATCTGTAAGTTGAGAACTCTAGTATATTCCATAGGCATAATAAAGAGGCAGGTAGGATACTATCTTTCTAAAGGTTAAAAGAGAAGGTCTGAGACCTCTAAAAACTCTGCAGTCTTCAGTGAGATTCCATGGGATGTTACAATGATAGAAGAAGAAGAAGCTGGCCTATATAAAAAGAGATTTAATAACAAGTATATGGCTAGAACTAGAAATTAAAAAGGTAATGAATTGAAAATGGATAAAGCTAGAAACCAAAATTACAAAGATGGAAATTAAATTAAACTTCACTGAATTAAAAAATGAAAATTAAAACACAATTTACCTGTCATGTTAGCAAAGATGTGGATTGTTAAGTATCCAAAGAAATAGCATTTTATGCCTTGTAAATTAATCCAACCTTTTAGAATTTAAGTAGCAATATCAATTAAAATTCAAAATATTCTGCATTTGGGCCCAGAGCTTCCACTTCCAGAAATTAATCCTGAATAAAGAGATGGACCCAAGAATATTTGTTGCACCACTTTTTTAAAACTTGGAAATAGCCCAAATAACAATAAAGAAGTAACTAACCAGTATGGCTACAAAATTTAATATTGTCTGTAGCAGTTAAAAGCAATGAAGTGCTGACAGGAAAATGCCAAAGACTACTAAATAAAAGAAGCACATTGTGTATAGTACCTAAAATTTTTAATAAGTGTATGTAGTATGTGTTGGAAAATGTGTGCTGTAAACTGTCGAGAGTATCAGAGTTGGGTGTGTTATTTTATGCATTAGGTCTGCCTATTGTGATTAGATTTTTTTTGAAGCACTATGTGTTTGTTTTCATGCACAGTCACTTAAGATAATAATTGAGCCATTTATTTTCAAGGGTCACACAAAATTCCAAAGACTGATTGCTAGGGAACCACCAGGCTCTCTCTGGTTTGTTCATCTTTCAAGACAAAAAATCAAGTCTTACTTTTTCCAGGTTGATTTATGAAACAGCACTGTAAAGTGATGATAATTTGAGACCAAAATGTAAATGGTATAACATGCACATGTGTTTTAAATATTTAGGTTAGCCCATTTTGTTTCTGTGAGGTTGAAATTATGTAACATAACCCACGTCTTAACAGACAGTGTTTCTCAAAATGTCATCCCCATTATACCTGTATGAGGAATGGGACCCAGAATCTGCAGTACAGGGGCACCTGGGTGGCTCAGTCAGTTGAGCATCGGACTCCTGATTTTGGCACAGGTCATGATCTCAGGATCCTGAGATCAAGCCCCAGGTCTGGCTCCACTCATTGTAGAGCCTGCTTAAAATTCTCTCTTTCCCTCACCTTCTGCCCCTCCCACTCCACTAAAAAAAAAAAAAAGAAGAAGAAGAAGAAGAATCTGCAGTGCAAACCAGCACCCCATATAATTCTGAAAACTACCCAACGATGTAAATCACCAGGTTATAGAGTGCTTCTGCCCTCTGAGGGGGAAAAAAACCTGAACTGTTATTTCCTGTACTAGGGCATCTAAGTAAAGCAAAATCGAAAAATAAGTGAATTGTAAGTCAACATGTATGGGATTGGAGAAAGTAAAATTGTAAAGATTAGACCTGTGTGTTGCTGATCTATTTTAAGAAGTAAAGATTTTCACTTAAATATGTAATAAAAATACATATGAAAGTAATGTCAGTGACTCAAAAAAGTACATAGTAAACAAATGCAAGAACAGATGTCCTTTAACAAGATGCTTTTTTTATAGGTAGTAAACTAAAAACTGTACAGGAAATGACCTAATTAGGCACCATGACTTTGTGAGGGAAAAGTTGGCCAGCCAGTTGCTGAAAACGTTCAGAAAAATAATGATTTCTGAAAGACTGAAACTTGTGATCAAGGATTTTCCAGTTGGGACAAACAAGAAATACATAATTAAATGAGTATGAGGATGGAATTAGAGATTCTAATGAAAAAGTATTGCTCACAAAGGGATAGAGCCTCTTGGCTAAACACAGAGGGAAAAAGACCTACAGTCTGTGTGATTGTGCTATTTCTGTGGCAAAGTGAGATTGTACTGATGACCATTTCTAATGATTTGCTCCTGACATTTCTGTTCCCCAGGAGACCTCAGATGGACCAGGAAGTTTTTCTGCCATAAACTGACATTTCTGTTGAGTCTCTTTATTCTTGGAATAAAAAAGAGAACAAATCAGTTTGTGTGGTATTTCAAATAACTTTGCAGTCAGTAATCAAACTAGATGTGAAATTTACTATTGGATAACAAATTTTAGGTGGTCTGTACTAATTTGTCCCCAGGACAATAGGCACAAACCATGAGGGAATAGAGGGTTAGTCTGCAAGAAGGAGAAGATTTAGTGATGCTGAAACTCAGGAAAAAGTGCAAAGAAAAAGATTTCTACAGCACCTAAACAGCCAAAATCATTTGGGAAGGCATCCTGCATGAGACTGTGCCTTTTTCCAGCCCCTGGTCATAGCCCCCTACAAATGGCCAACATTTTGCCTGCAGGGTGGTTTTTGATTGCCAATCCTCTTTGATAGGTGAATTATCAAATCTTAAACTCAGAAGTTTCCCCGTAGCATTTTTGATGAACTCTTTCAAGCACACAGAGAAGTTGAGAGAAATGGACATTAAGCACCCATTTATCCATCACCTAGACTCCATCATTATTAACACTCCTATCTCTGCTTTTCCACATACTTAGCCAGCCGGCCAGCAGCTTACACATTGTCAGTGACCACTCAATCTTTGTTTACATGGGGGTTATAAAATTTATACGTGGAAGTGCAGATCTGAAGTGTAGCATTGTACAGATTTTAATAAACCCATGTGCCTATGTGACCTAAACCTCTGTCCGTCACCCCAGGAAACTCCTTTATACCCCTTGACAGTCCCCCGCCCCCAAAAGCAAGTGTGCTACTCTGGGTTTTTTTCTTCATTGTAGGTTACTTCTGCCTGTTTCTGAACTTCCTATGAATGGAAGCTTAGGGTGTGTGCTTGGGTCTGGCTTATTTTGCTCAGCATCATTTAACTGAGAGTCACCCAAGTCACATGCATCACAGGTTTGTTCCTTTTCATAACTGACAGGCCTTCCATTGTAGAGCCGTACTACCAATTGTTTTTCCATTCTCTTGATGAACATGTGGGCTCTTAAAGGGATTTGAGCTTGGTATTGAAGGATCTAGAGAGGTGGTGGGTACTGAGGGTCAGCGGGGAGGCAGATACATGCTCCAGGCAGAGGAAAAGCCGTGAAGAAACTTCATCTCCGGATTCCAAAACCCAGGACAGGGCCTTACCAAAGAAGGGAAACTGTCGTCAGGCCCCAGGTCCATCAAGTGCTAAACACCTGCTTCTCATTTGAGGCACCTCTCAATCTGTTCTTTGTCTTCTCTTCCGTGTGTGTGTGTGTGTGTGTGTGTGTGTGTGTGTATGTTTAAAGAGTGATCTATTGGAGAGAAAGAGCACAAGCAGGAGTGGCAGAGGTAGAGGAGAGAATCCCCAGCAGACTCTGAGCTGAACGTGGAGCCAGACTGGAGGCTCCATCTCACGACCCTCAGATCACGACCTGAGCTGAAACCAAAACCAGACTCTTAACTGCCTGAGCCACCCAGGCGCCCCTGTTCTCTCCTTCTCATAACCACATCCAGTTTAGGTCTTTATTTTCTCTCACTTGGACTGCTGGGGTACCATAAATTGGTGGTTTTTTCATCTCTGACCTCCCTCCCAAATAAACTATCATAAACATGGCCACCAAGACAATCTCTCTGAACTATGCCGCTGACTATGCCGTTCTCTCCTCCTCATGCTGACCCAGCTAAGACCAAACTCCACCTTGGCCTTTAGGGCCCTCTACAGATGGCATTGATACACCTTTTCAGACTTGTTATCTAAAATTTCTACTCCCTACATGTCATACACAAGACATGGGAATAAAAGATACAGCGTAAGGAACATAGTCAATGACATCGTAATAGGTTTGTATGGTGACAGAAGGTAGCTACACTTGTGAGCACAGCATAATGTACAGATGTGAATCACTATGTTGTACACATCGTGTACACACATTGTGTGTTAAGCATACTTCAAAAAATATACTATATATGTTTAATGATATATATTTTTATATATTATATATTTTAATACATTTTAAAATTATATTAAATATATATTAATCTTGTTAAATATATTTTTATAGCATATAAAATATACTAATGTAACATTGGGTGCAACTCTGCTTCAAGACTAGATCTTTCACAAAGAAAAAAAACAGAAAAGAAGAAACAGGAAAAAAAAAAACAAAAATTGGAGGAAGTGGAAGTCAAGTTTGAGTCTGTTATCTGTCTCTTTTGCCTTACGGATGTGGCAGAGCTTAGCTAGCTGTTCACCAAAACCTGTTTCCTCTTCCTTGATGATCCACAAACTAGACCACAGTTCCCAGGCTCCTAGCATCAGTGTGTAGTTATGTGACAAAGTTTGGGTCAGTGAAATATGGTAAAAAGTGGTGTGTGCCCTTCCCAGCTTGCCCTCACTTCCAGACCTCCCCACTTGTGATCCTCCATCTTCTTTCCTTTTAGACAACAACTTTGGAAATCCCTAGTTGAAGAGAGAAGCCCCAAGGTGGGAGAGCCTGGATCTGCCTCACCCAGATTGAACGGTTCTGAATTTCCAGCTCAAAAACTTTTAGTTGGGCAATATGTGTCATTGTATCGGTCAGGATTTTCCATAGAAAGAAAAACAATAAGAAATACATATTAAGAGATTAATTTTAAGGAATTGACTCATGCAGTTGTGCGGGCTGGCAAGTCTGAAATCTTAGGGCAGACCAGCAGTTTGGAAATTCAGCCAGGAGCTAATGTTGGAAACTTGAGACAATTTCCTTTCTGGAAAACTATTCTTGCTCTGGATTAGATTGGGTCAGTTGTCAAGGGTAATAGCCTTTACTTAAGGTCAACTGACTGGAGGTGTTAGCTGTATATACAAAATACCTGTATCTTGTGATTAAATCACCAAGTAGTACAGTAGAACAGCATAATTAAGTAAACCCAGAAAACGAACTATCACGGTAATGAAACTAATCGAAAAAATAACTATGCTATATGCCTCCTTGGAGTTACTTCCTTTTTGCATCAGAACATTTTTTGAAAAAAGACAACAGTCTCTTAAGCACTAAATATCACATTTGTGGGTCTATCAGAATGCTTTTTCTTTTTTTTTTTAAGATTTTATTTATTTAAAGAGAGAGAGAGAGATCACAAGTAGGCAGAGAGGCAGGCAGAGAGAGAGGTGGAAGCAGGCTCCCAGTTAAGCAGAGAGCCCCATCTGGGGCTCGATCCCAGGACCCTGAGACTGACCTGAGCCAAAGGCAGAGGCCCAACCCAGTGAGCCACCCAGGAACCCCAGAGAATGCTTTTTCTTAAAGAGTGTGTAGTTCAGTCTGAGCCGAATGTCAACCCCTGTAGAAGTTCTTTATTTATAATTGGATCTTAATTGTCTCCTTCTCCATAGTTCAGGGATTTTTCAAGCTTAGATTGAAAATGAAAGTTGACGTCTAACTTTTAAGATCGTCTCCCCTATGCTCCTGAAAATCCAGCTCCAATAGGACATCTCACTCTTGTTTTTTATAAGTGCCTCCAGATATCTGCAGTCTCAAAAAGCATTTCTTTGGCAAATCTAATCTGAAAGTTTTCAAAGTGCTGGCCTTCAGCTCTGCAAACTTTTGACCATAATGTACATTAAATGAGATTTGTCAGAATCTGTTTCTTTTCATAGCCCGAGGCTTGTGAGTGATTTCTGGGAAATGTTGCTTATAAGATACACTCTTTTCAGTCGGTTTCAAAAGGTGACCCCAGATAGGTAACCGTCAAGGAGAGGCGTCTCTGCAGAGAAATGAAGGGGTAAGCAAGCCCCTCTGGGCCCACCGTTCTCTTCACCCGGTGCCATGAACCTGCCCATTGAGCACTTGAAAAGCAGTGCCTGCCAGAACATTGGAGAGCCTGCTGCCCCCACAAGCAGGTGTGTGGGTGCAACGAGGGTAGCCTCGACATTTTGTATGTTACCTTTTCAATACAATTTCTAAAGCTGGGGAAGAGGGCAGGAAAACATCCAGGCTTCATCACCAGTCAGCCCTCAGATCTGTCCTTGAGTCATTCTGCTAAGTGGTACTGGGTAATTGTCTCACTGGAGACCTGCAAAACAGCTCGTGGGAAAGAACGATTTGCACCTGGAATACATTCATT